CCACATCAACTCTGTGGATAAATACATCAAGTTCACACGAGAAGATGAAAAAAATAGCAAGTTGGCTTTCTTGGACTGTGAGGTCTCAGTCTCTGATAGAGGACATTTGCAAACCGAGGTGTACCGCAAACCCACCCACACAGACCAGTATTTGCAGTTTGACTCCCATCACCCTTTGGAGCACAAGTTAGGAGTCATCAGGACTCTGTATCACAGAGCAGACAGCGTCCCCACTAGCTCAGGAGCCAGGCAGAAGGAGAAATCCCACACAAGACAGGCTCTAGAGCAATGTGGATATCCTAACTGGGCCTTCCTGAAAGCAGAGAAGAAACCCAAACAGGACTCCAGTCAGCCATCAGGTGAAAAGGAGGAACCCAGACCCAGACCAGTGGTCATTCCGTATGTTGAGGGGGTATCAGAGAAACTGAGACGTTTATTTTCTAAACATAACGTCCCAGTGGCTTTTAAACCCCAAAATACATTACGGCAAAGACTGGTTCATCCCAAAGATCCAGTCCCCCGGCACAGAGTAATGTTGTGTATGCTGTTCAGTGTCAGGAAGGCTGTGATCAGTCTTACATCGGGGAAACAAAACAGCCACTGGCCAAAAGGATGGCCCAGCACAGAAGATCAACATCATCAGGCCAGGACTCTGCGGTCTACACTCATCTCCAGGCCAGCGGTCACTCTTTCAGGGATGAAGATGTTCACATCCTGGACAGAGAGGAACGATGGTTTGAGAGAGGAGTAAAGGAGGCCATCTTTGTGAAAAGAAATCGTCCATCATTAAACAGGGGTGGAGGCCTCCGGGTTCAACTGTCCCCCTCTTACAATGCTGTTATTGCTAGTATCACTCAGCCCTCTGTGAGTAATAAACAGCCATCAGTGTGCTAATGATCCATTGTTAGGCTGATGGTCCTTCTTGAGCATGTGATCAGCTGGTTTTGGTTGTCAGCAGCAAAACTGGTTGATCCACTCTGAGAAGGTGCTATTTAAGAGACTGAGCTGAAAACAGCACCTCAGACTGAGGAAGTCTCTTGGATGAGAGACGAAACGTTTCTAGATTTTTTTGCTTTGTTTTGTTTTTTGTTTGTTTGAATGTCCAGAGGACTAGATTGAACTTTTTGGAATGTTCAATATGTATTGGAACATTGAGAATGCTGAACTAAAATCTATGAACAACATCTGGGCATAGGTGTTTTTGTTGTCCAAGTGTGAGAGAACAGAGTGCAGCGTTATGGAGACTGCATCATCCCTTAGACTCCCTGATTAGGTATATTCAGGGTAGGAATGCGTGATATATACGGTACACATTAGAAAAGATAGAAATTTAGCCTACGATAGAGATCTGTCTTCTACTGGCTAACTGCAGTAATGCTGTGTCTGATGTAAAATCAGAGTTGTCAGATTTAATTGTTACTTTTTTTTGGTTGAAAACTGTGTGTAAGCGGTGGTAAAGTCCTTTCTTCTAGAGCTATCACTGGAGTGGTTCACAGCCGAGTGTGAAGTGGCTGGTATGAGAATCAGCACCTCAAAATCTGAGGCCATCATCAGTCAGAAAAGAGCAAATTGTTCACTTTGGGTCAAGGGTGAGGTTCTGCCTCAAGTGGAGGAGTTCAAGTATCTCAGGGTTTTGTTCAAGAGTGAGGGAAGAATGGTGCGTGAGATTGACAGATGAATTGGTGCAGCGTCTACAGTATTGCAAACTCTGTACTGGTCCATTGTGGTGAAGAGGGAGCTGAGCTGTAAGGCAAAGCTCTCTGTTTACCGGTTGATCTATACCCTCACCTATGGTCATGAACTCTGGGTAGTGACAGAAACAATGAGATTGCGGACGGTCAGTTGAAATGAGTTTCCTTCACAGGGTAGCTGGACTCTCCCTTAAAGATAGGGTGAGAAGTTCAGTCATCAGGGAGAGACTTGGTGTAGAACTGCTGCTCCTCCACATCAAGAGGAGCCAGTTGAGGTGGTTTGCGTATCTGGTAAGGATGCTCCCTGGGCTTCTCCTTAGGGAGGTGCTTTGTGCATGTCTGACCAGGAGGAGACCCTGGGGAAGACCCAGGATACGCTGGAGAGGCTTTGTCTCTCGGTTGGCCTGGGAATGCCTTGGAGTCCTTCCAGAAGAGCTGGAAAAGGTTGCTGTGGACAGAGATGTCTGGACCTCCTTGCTCAAGCTGCTGCCCTCGCGTCCTGACTTTGGAACAAACGGGATATAAAGAATGGATTTTGGTTGGATGGATGGATGAACTACAAATGTTGCATTCCTCAAGTCTAGACACTCCTGAACCACATAAAATGTCAGTGTCTTACCTGGGCCAAGGAGACAAATGGTAAATGGACTGCACTTATATTGTGCCTTTCTATCTTATCAATATACTCTAATTTGTGCCCTCATTTACCCATTCATACAGCTCTCTATTATATCTTTACAAGGAATAATCAGAGCTTTATCACATTTATTCACCTATGGGAATCACATCAGAGGCAAGGAGGGGTTCAGTGTCTTGCCCAGGGACATTTCAACATGTGACTGCTGGTGGATATGAACCATCAATTCTCCCATTGGAATATGACTGCTCTAACCACTCAGCCACAGCTGCCCAACAAAGAACTGGACTGTTGCTCAGTGGTCCAGTGTCCTTTTTTCTGATGAACAATTTCTAAATCAATGTCGCATAATCTGGAGGAAGATTGGAGAGGTCCTCAATCCAGGTTGCTGAAGTCCAGAGTGAAGTTTCCACAGTCAGTGATGGTTTGGGTCCATGTCCTCTGCTGGTGCTGGTGAAAAAAGAAATTGAAGTTTGTTACAATATTCAAATTTTCTGAGCTGTACCTGAATTTCCTTAATAATTAGACAAATGAACCAAATGCAGAATTTGAAGCTGAAGCAGTCATATTTCCCCATGTAGGCTGTCTAAAGTAGAGGTTTTAAGTCTCTGCAAAGGTAGGCCTAATTAAAAGGAAAAATAGACCTTGGATCTGATTTACATTGTTCTTACCTTCTGCTGTATATAGATAAATGTATATCTAAATGCTCATTTTTTAATACATTTTTGTAATTACTTGTAGTTGTTCAATGCCTAAAAAAACCCTAATTCTTGTGTGTGGCGGAGTAGGTGGTACATTCAGTCCTGCATCTCTAGTACACAGACCCTATCTCCTGTCTTTGAAATTAAAAATGTTCTATTTACTTTCATAGCCTGCTTTTGTATTCTGCATCCTTCGTCCTCAACACATCATCTTCATGACAGAAAACCTTATTTGATATTCTGTTTTGATGTGGCACAGTCATCAAGTTCACATTTGTGTCACAGAACGGTTTTTGGCTACATTTCTAATTGTATAGCTAATGACATTGACAGTCACCTTATTTGGACGTTGTATCTGATGCTAATTAGCATGTCTTAGCATGTGAGCATGTTCGGAGCATAGCTGTGGTTGAACACAGCCACAAAGAGCTGAGAGGATATCAGCAAATCATCAGATAAATCTGTTCATTTTT